AAACAAAATGCTCTGATTTAATTTCGCTATTCAAATCTACTCTATTCCAATTTCACTAAAAAATATACGCGTGTGTGTGTGTGTGTTTCCCAGACTCTCTCTCTCTCTCTCTCTCTCTGTCACAGATCAGCTCCGATTTAGACATTTCTTCAACATTACATGACATAGCACTTCGATTTCGATCAGCGGTTCCCAACAGATTTTGAGCCTTGCCCTTGCCCTTGCTATTTCTAAAATTCTGGTGCCCACCTGTAAGATTTAATATTTACTGCAATACACGTGAAGGAATCTTAAAAGGCCATTAACTTGGCTTTTAAACAAGCCTCTAAAGTCCATGACTTCATTGAAAGGGAAAAATAAAAAAACAAAACAAAAAGACAGTTATATATCGTTTCGAAACATAATAAAAAACATTGAGAAGCTAACTGAATGGCCACACGCGCTGATTGGCCGACAAAAAATGGGCTCTTCCAGCAACATGTATCACGCCCTACCCTTTGTTGACGGAGACAAGCGAGTTTGGGGAAAACGGGAAATACCCTGTATGCCAATTACACATGTACGTACATACACACAAAATATTTTTATGTATGCATATTGTATATGCATCGTGTGTATTAATGTGCATTAACATTAACACTCTCAGACTCACTAGGAAACAATTCACTGTTAATAACTCATTCTCTAATTGCCCCCTTATTCTGTTGGTATAATAAGCCGAAGGGTGAACATCCTACACATGCCCCATCAAAATATTACCATGCCTCAACGGTGGGACATACGACCCACATTGGGAATCAGTGACTTAGACTTTTTTTTTTCAACATTAAACCAAAATGAAGCTGTCTGTCAAACTTGTTTTCATTAATTAATTAAAAAATGACGCGAAAAAGAAACTTTTCAGCATGGATGTTTTTACTAATTAATGTATTAATTAATTAATTACACGAAAACGAAACTCGGTAGAAATGATTTTATTGTCTAATTAAATAATGAACTTTCAAATGAGTTGTGCCCGTGCGGAAAATCCAAGGGGGGGGGTGACTTTGTTGCCAATGTGCCTTTCCCACGCTTCTGCACGTATTCTACGAGATATCCACAAGCTTACCAGGGCCATCGATATGACATCTTCTTCCTCTGTTGGTCGTTTCCCTTCAAGACGTCGGCGATCACGGCTCTCCAAAACTTCCTGTTCATTTTGGCTATTAGTAGTTAGTTTGGCTATTTTTTTTTGCTATATCTCCTAACCCAAGCCACACCAAAAATATTCTTCTTCTGTGTGCCACGTCTCTTCAGGACGTTGGTGGTCATGGCTCTCCACAATTTCCTATCATTTTTAGCGCTAAGTAAATTTTTGTCTTTTTTATCTCTTCTAAATCCTGTTCTGTTATCCATTTACAAGAACACGTTAGGTAGGATATGGCCTAATTTCCACTGTGACTTCTTGCCTTCAGTATGTCCGGTGAGTGTCAAAGTTTCTAAGCCTTCATTCCTCATTATGGGCTGTAGAAATTTTAACTGTCTCATTGAGACTACGTATAAGAGTCCGTTTTGTTTAAATTTTCTTGAAAAGTTTGTCTTTACTCATATGTTCAGTCTATGATATATGTTTGTAGAATACCTCACATCTATTCTACATCTGTATAGGAGGACCGATATTACATCTTTGCTCACTATTCTTTTCTTTGTTTCCAATGACATTTTCCTGTTTCTTAATACTTTGCTTAGCTTTTGGAAGGCATCTTTCGCTATCCCAATGAGCCTTCGGATTTCAGTGTCGTTTGTTCCATTCTATGTTAAAACAATTCCTAGATATATCAATTTTTTGCACTTGTTTAATTTTGTTATCTTATAGTCAATCTTCCGCAACCTTTCGGAGGTACTGATGCATTCTTGCTGACTGGGTACCTCCATTTACTATCCAAGCCAGTCATGCGAATTCAAGTTCCTAGTTCTGCAAGTGTGAATCTTCTCACTTTGAACTTATTGATGTCAACGATTTGTTACCTTTTCTAAAATTCCGAATTCTCAGCTTTAATTAGAAAGGCCAGGATTTTTAATCGAAAGGGAGGATCCATCATTGTTACCTAGCGGTCTACCTTATCACTGTTCTCTCTAACAACACATTGTTAGCATGGTTTGTTTGTTTTTTTCTTTTAGAAAGGTCAAGGATTCTCATCGAATGGAAGGATCCACCAGCGATACCCAACGGTCGATATTATATCAGATCTCTTTTGCTACAAATAGAAGGATTTTTATTTCTAGTTTTATTCAGTTTTTTTTTATTGTTTTGCTTTTTATCCCAACACTTTGGCTCTATACACTCTTCATTATTACTATTATTTTATTACTAGTTTTATTGCATCTTATTATTGTTGCTTTTTATCCCAACAATCTGGTTCTATACACTCTTCATTATTACTATTATTTTATTACTAGTTTTATTGCATCTTATTATTGTTGCTTTTTATCCCAACACTCTGGCTCTATACACTCTTCATTATTACTATTATTTTATTACTAGTTTTATTCCATCTTATTATTGTTGCTTTTTATATAAACACTCTGGCTCTATACACTCTTCATTATTACTATTATTTTATTACTAGTTTTATTCCATCTTATTATTGTTGCTTTTTATCTCAACACTCTGGCTCTATACACTCTTCATTATTACTATTATTTTATTGCTAGTTTCATTCCATCTTATTATTGTTGCTTTTTATTCCAAAAATCTGGCTCTATACACTCTTCATTATTACTATTATTTTATTACTAATTTTATTCCATCTTATTATTGTTGCTTTTTATATAAACACTCTGGCTCTATACACTCTTCATTATTATTTTTTACTAATTTAATCCGTTTTAATCTTGTTGAAAATCTCTCTTCTAAATATTTCCCCATTACTCTTTCTAAATCTTGTCAAATATCTTTATAGCCTGCTTTTCTCGCACGCCATAAAATCACTTAGGAATGGAAAGGATACACATAAAGAAACGGGTGGACACAAACGTTCATTGTACCACCCACAAGCGCGTGTCTGACGACGAGTCTGTTTGTTGAGGGAGGTGACATTTTGTGTCCAGTCAATTAGCGCTACTCGGCCTTCAGTTACCGACCAATGATAGGGAAAAAGGCAAGGTTCAAGTTAAGGTGTAGAGATAAGCGGGCAATGAAAGACTTTCATCGGGTGGGTTGTCTTTTCCGGCCCGCCTTCTAACCAGCTCTCCTAAAATGTCATATGGAAATAGAATAAAGGGCAAAATAGAATTGTTAGGTTATCTGAGCGTCAAGGGGTTGCCGAATAAGCTGTATTGATGAGAAAAATTATTTATTTATTTTAATCATTTCACCCCAAACAAGGCTATAATGCCACTAAGACGCAGACGGTTACTGGGAGTGAAAGATAAAGAGAAAGATTTAGTGAGAAAAAAGGAAAATAAATAGAAAAAAACTGGTATTATACTTTCATAGTTTTTTGTTTGGGGTAGGGTCACTATTTGCCCATAGCTGGGACCCTATCAGCTGCTACTGTAATGGATCTAAGAAAGTTGCGTCAATATTTAAGACTGTGCTGTAAATAAAATATGCAATAGCCACAAACATAAAATATAAGAAATGGCCAAATTGTAACGATTTTCAGTCACGACAAAAGATATATGTTTGAAATAATAGATTAAATTTTATATACACAATTTACAAAATCTAAATAATTCGAACAATTTTATGGCTTCAAGTAAATATATTTTGAACGCAATTATAAACCTTCAACTCCAGATAAAATGTATTGCTGGTATCATGTAATGTCGGTCTTTTTTATATTAAAATGTATTTTTTATACTTTCTGTTTTGTTTTGAGACAGGTCACTATTTGCCCATAGCTGGGACCCTAACAGCTGCTACCACCACGACTCAGAGTGAACCTGGGAATTGCCGTTCCAGGCTCCTCAAAACCTTCAATCTTCCGATCAGAGGCCTTGTTGCTGGATGTAGTTTATTGACATATAATAAAGACATGTAATTTCTATTTGTTCTTAAATAACCTCGTCAGATCTGAATTTTCGAATGGACGACATGCTTGGCGCCAAACACAGAACCAGTGTTTCTCAACCGGTGTTGCCCAGAACGCTAATGTCACACAAGGGCTTTGATTTGATTGTTCAACAGCAGATCAACTCCTTATGGGTTATTTAATGATGAAAATTAATTTTCTTGGGTACTTTGAAGTAATAAAAACATATTATTCTGCTTTCACACTTGAATCCATGGTAAATGATACTCAGCTTTTGTTCATATATAAGTTTATGTGGACATAATTGCTAGAGGCGGTTTTTTTTTAGTTATATTTCGGAATACAGTTTTGATTTGATTTAAGAAATTGTAAGATATTATATAGATTAATATCATGAAAGAGTTTATATTGGTTAAATTTGTTTATATCACCCTCTTTAGGTTATTTAATGCCGAATTTGAACAATTTTATAGCTTCAACTACAGATAAAATGTATTTCCAGTCTAGTATTGTCGATTTTTTTTTTCATATAAAAATGTATTGCTGGTATTTTTACTATTAAAAAATAGTATAAATTACTATAAATACTTTTATAGTGTTTTTGTTTGCGGTGGTCACTATTTACTCATAGCTGGGATCCCAACAGGTGTTACCACCATGGGTCAGGGTGGGCCTGAGAGCAACAGCAATTAAGAGGTGGTTCCATGTTCCTCAAAACCCCCAATCAGAGGCCTTGCCGGAGGTAGCTGATCATAAATTAACGTTACTGCCAGAAATGAACTATAAGAATTTGGGGGGTGAGGGGGGATAATGGTTTAGTGATACAAATCTAATTAACCTGTAGCTGCTGGTGGTTGTGTGGTTCATGCCTTTCTCAATGGCATTTGCGCGTACGTGAATATTAAGAACCTGACTGAAATTGGAACTCGACTCCTCGATTAAAAATTCCGAGCCATTATCCATTACACCACCCGCACATCCACGCTTACAGCACCTGGAATTCTCAAGCAGTCACCCATCTAGGTATTGACCAGGTTCGGGTTTGCTTAACTCCGGTGACCGTATGGGAACAAGTATTTCAACGTGATATGGCCAGCAAAACAAGGCGATAATGGCACTAAGACGCAAAGGGTTACTGAGAGTGAAAGAGGGTGAAAAAACTTTATTTAGAACAAAGTAGACTAAAAAAACAAGTATCAGGAATATAGGAGATGGCGATTAGTGTTGCACTTATTTAAATTTGTTGATTCGTTGAATTTTGTTTCGAGGCATATCAACAATCCTATGGTTTACTTAATGCCGAAATTTAAATATTTTGAACATAGTTTTATGGCTTCAACTACAGATGTATTGTAGGTCATTTTGCTATAAAATGTATTGTTGGTTTTTCTACTATAAATAAATTTCGTTGGTAATTTTTATATAAAAATGTATTGCTGGTATTTTTACTATGAAAATATATTCACTATTTTAGTATCAAATGAAGGAGCTACAGACATTTCTGGTCAGTGTCGTAATAGATAACAGAAGATGTGTCACAGAAATCCGAAGGCGTATCGAAATAGCGAAAGATGTCTTTCAGAAGCTAAGCAAAATATTTAGAGATAGGGAAGTGTTGTTATATATCCACTTTTTTATGTCAGCAAATGCTGAACAATTTCCTCGCATATGAAGCGTAGGACAATTCAGTGGAAGAACGTTAAGATTTATTTATTATTATTATTATTATTATTATTATTATTATTATTATTATTATTATCGATTACCTTCAGGCGATCATATCTCTTAAATCCCTAAATAATTTTTTACTCTTTTCTATCCTTTTTTGTCCCTGTCTTATCATCAATCCCCACAAACTCGTTAAGCATGTTGGGCCATTATTATTATAAATAAATAAATATAAAATATAAAATAATAATGAAAATTACAGATAAAATAAAATAAAACAATAAAAAACGATAAATTAAATAAAAAAGTAAAAATACTTAAACTCTCCCAGCATGCAAGAAAAACAGTTCCTACCGGAAATACGGACATCAAGCCAAAAGACCTTAAATTCAACTTCTCTTCACCACGAACTTTCGTACGGACAAAACGTGTTCGACTTCTCACTGTGATATGACGTGTAATAATACTAAATAATTTCCCCTTCTCATTACATGATCATGAAACAATAGCAACCTAAAATAATATACACTCCAATACAAACAAAAAATATAAATAAACTGTATGAAATTAACATCCAATTTACCATGCTTTCCTGTTATTTCTGTATGTTTTATTTCTTGTCAAGTATATTTTTATCTACATGAACACAAGGCTAATTTCTGCTGCCATGATGTGAGTGACTCCCACAACATTTTGGTGACCGCCGACATGCATAAAAAAACAACCTATTCACCCACAATGCTACTCGTGATTTACTCTTGATTCTCTTTCATATATTCTGAGAGTGTCAAATTCTATAGACCCTCTTTCCTCATAATGTGTCACAGAAATGCCTATCTTTTTCTGATTATAAATATCAGTTTCTGTTTTCCTTAAAACTTTCACGTTGCTCACATGGCATTCTTAGAATTTGTCGGATGGAAACTCATTTCACTTTCTTCAAGTCTGTCCTTCATTTATGAAGAAATTATTTATCTATTTAATTGGTTTAACGTATAGGAAAATATGTGACCGTGGTATATATTTAGTAGTGGTTTTGTTTTTATCTCCTTATTGTTTTAATACCTCGATACACTATTCGACCATAGCATCAGTGAAAAAAAAATCATGGACGTCGTTTGAACCATTTAGATTATTGAAGCTTTGATGATTAATTGTTAGGATAATCTGCCTGCATTGGTCAACATTTTTATGAACTTTAACTAACTTTTACCGTCTATAAATTTTACATTTTTTTAAATACAAACTCAGCCTATTCTTGCCTACTATATCCTTACAAAAAAATCTTGTTATTTGAGGAGGTTTTGGCTTAGGATAGTTTGAAAACAGTTTGGTACCCCCTGAGTACCACCCCTGTCACATATCATAAACTAAATATCTATTACAATTCTGCTTCTCCCTCCTCCCTCAGTTCAAACGGCCGTTACGCCTTGCCAATAAAAAATGGACCCTTCTTTTTGACCGCGTGAAAACATGAAACTGACATATCAGAGACGCTACTTGGTTTCACTGAGAAAATGAAAGAAAGAAAGAAAGAAAGAAAGAAAGAAAGAACGGAGGAAAGATAGAAATGTTTAACGTCTGTTTCAGTGAAATGGAAAAAGTTATCGATTTCAGATCTTTTCATTTGTGCATTCTTATAGATACAGGATGCACGGTGGAGTAATGGATAGCGGCTCGGTTTAAGGAATCGGAGAGCAGAGTTCGAATTTCAATCGAATCCATTACATTCACTTACGTGCTAATACCCTTGGGAAAGGTATGAATCATCTCCTTCTCCCTCCAGTTATGGATAAATAACAGGACATACCGGGTT